CATTTTGCTTGGGTCATGGTTAGTACTTTGGACTCTGTACATTCCCTTAACCACCCCTCAACAGAATGACTAAGAGAAGGAGCCCACAACAAAGAAAAGGATCAGAGACTATGGTCTCTTCCATAGACCTACTGGATATGGATATAAGCAAGATGTCAGAGATAGACTTCAGAGTAGTAATTATGAAGTCGATATCTAGGGTTGAGAAAAATATTAGCAACAATATAGAATCTCTAAGGGCCAAAATGAAATCGAATCAGGCCAAACTTAAAAATGCTATGAATGAGAAGCAGTCTAAACTGAATACCCTGACAGCCAGGTAAATGAGGCAGAAGAATGAATTAGTGAGCTAGAAGATAAGATAATAGAAAGGAAGTAAGCCAAGGAGGCCTGGGATAAACAACTAGAAGCCCATGAGAACAGACTTAGAAAGATCAATGATGCCATGAAACGTTCCAATGTCAGAATTATTGGGATCCCTGAGGGGGTAGAGAGAGAGAGAGGACTAGAAGGTATATTTGAGCAAATCGTAGCTGAGAACTTCTATAATCTCAGGAAGGAAACAAGCATTCATGTCCAAGAGGCAGAGAGGACCCCTCCTGAGTTCAATAAGAACAGACCAATGCCCTGGCATATAATAGTAAAACTTGCAAATCTTAGAGCCAAGGAAGCTATCCTGAGAGCAGCCAGGGGGAAGAGATTTCTTATATATGGAGGGAGGAACATCAGAATAATATCAGACCTCTCCACAGAGACCTGGAAAGCCAGAAAGGGCTGGCAAGACATATTCAGGGTACTAAATGAGAACATGCAGCCAAAGATACTTCATGCAGCCAGGCTATCACTCAGAATGGTTGGGGAGACAAGAAGCTTCCAGGACCAGCAGAAACTAAAAGAATATATGACCACCAAGTCAGCCTTGCAAGAAATATTAAAGGGGATTCTATAAATGAAGAAAGACACCAAGAATAATATAAACCAGAAATTTAGAGACATTCTATGGAAACAGGGACTTCACAGGCAAAATGATGGCACAAAATCATCTTTCAATAGGCACTCTCAATGTGAATGGCCTAAATGCTCCCATGAAATGGCACACGGTTGTAGATTGGATAAAATGCATGACCCATCCATATGCTGTCTACAAGAGACTCATTTTGAACCTAAAGATACCACCAGATGGAAAGTGAGGGGATGGAGAACCACTTATCATGCCAACGGACCTCAGAAAGCTGGGGTAGCAATTTTCTTATCAGACAAATTAGATTTAAAGCTAAAGACTGTAGTAAGAGATGTAAAGGGACACTATATCATACTTAAAGGGTCTATCCAACAAGAAGATCGAACAACTGTAAATACCTATGCCCCCAACATGGGAGCAGCCAACTACATAAGCCAACTGTTAACCAAAATAAAGAATCATATTGATAATAATATTTTAATAGTAGGAGACTTCAACACTCCACTCTCAGCAATGGACAGATCATTTAAGCAGAAGATCAACAAAGAAACAAGAGCTCTGAATGATACATTGGACCAGATGGAATTCATAGATATATACAGAACATTCCACCCTAAAACAACAGAATACTCATTCATCTCGAATGCGCACAGAACTTCCTCCAGACCCACATAATGGGTCACAAATCACGTCTCAACTGATACCAAAAGATTGAGATTATTCCCTGCATACTTTCAGACCACAATGCTGTGAAACTGGAACTCAATCACAAGAAAAAAATTGGAAGGAATTCAAACACTTGGAAGTTAAAGACCATCCTGCTAAAGAATGTCTGGGTCAACCAGGAAATTAAAGAAGAACTTAGACAATTCATGGAAACCAATGAGAATGAAAACACACTGGTCCAAAACCAATAGGAGACTGCAAAGGCGGTCCTGAGGGGGAAATACATAGCCATCCAAGCTTTACTCAAAAAAGTAGAAAAATCCTGAATGCACAAGCTAACCTTACACCTACAGTAACTGGAGAAAGAACAGCAAATAAAACCTAAACCAAGCAGGAGAAGAGAAATAATAAAGATTAAAGCAGAAATCGACAAAATAGAAACCAGAAAAACAGTAAAGCAGATCAACGAAACTAGTAGCGGGTTGTTTGAAAGAATTAATAAGATCAATAAACCTCTGGCCAGACTTATCCAAAAGAAAAGAGAAAGGACCCAAATTAACAAAATTATGAATGAAAGGGGAGAGATCATGACTGACACCAAGGAAATAGAAACAATTATTAGAAATTATTATCAGCAACTATATGCCAACAAATTAAGCAACTTGGAAGAAATGGATGCCTTCCTGGAAACTTATAAACTACCAAGACTGAAACAGGAAGAAATTGACAATCTGAATAGACCAATAACCAGTAACAAAATTGAAGCAGTAATCAAAAACCTCCCAGAAAACAAGAGTCCAGGGCCAGATACCTTCCCAGGGGAATTCTACCAAACATTTCAAGATACAGTACCTATTCTACTGAAGCTGTTTCAAAAAAAAAAGAAACAGAAGGAAATCTTCCAAACTCATTCTATGATCCAGCATTACTTTGATCCCAAAACCAGGCAAAGACCCTATCAAAAAGGAAAATTACAGACCAATATCCCTGATGAATATGGATGCCAAGATATTCAATAAGATCCTAGCCAATAGGATCCAACAGTATATTAAAAGGATTATCCATCATGACCAGATGGGATTTATTCCTGGGATGCAAGGGTGGTTCAACATTCACCAATCAATCAGTGTGATAGAGCACATTAATAAAAGAAAAGACAAGAACCAAATGATTCTCTCAATTGATGCAGAAAAAGCATTTGACAAAATACAGCATCCTTTCCTGATTAAAACTCTTCACAGTGTAGGGATCGAGGGAACACTCCTCAATTTCATAAAAACCATCTATGAAAAGCCCACAGTGAATATCATTCTCAATGGGGAAAGGCTGAGAGCTTTTCCCTTAAGATCAGGAACACAACAGGGATGCCCACTCTCACCAATATTGTTCAACATAGTACTAGAAGTCCTAGCAACAGCAATCAGACAACAAAAAGAAATAAAAGGTATTCAAATTGGCAAAAATTCAAACTCTCTCTCTTCACAGATGACATGATACTTTTTGTGGAAAACCCAAAAGACTCCACCCCAAAGTTACTAGAACTCATACAGCAATTCAGTACTGTGGCAGGATACAAAATCAATGCACAGAAATCAGTTGCTTTTCTATACACTAACAATGTAACTAGAAAGAGAAATTAGGGAATCAATTCCATTTACAATAGCACCAAAAACCATAAGATACCTAGGAATAAACCTAACCAAAGAGGTAAACGATCTATACTCTAGAAACTACAGAACACTTATGAAAGAAATTGAGGAAGACACAAAGAGATGGAAAAACATTCCATGGTCATGGATTGGAAGAATAAACATTGTTAAAATGTCTATGCTGCCAGAGCAATCTACACTTTCAATGCCATTCCTATTAAAATAACATTGGCATTTTTCAAAGAGCTGGAACAAACCTTCCTAAAATTTGTATGGAACCAGAAAAGACCCCGAATGGCCAGGGGAGTGTTGAAAAAGAAAACTAAAAATGGGGGCATCACAATGGCTGACTTCAAGCTATGTTACAAAGCCCTGATCATCAAGACAGCATGGTACTGGCACAAAAACAGACACATAGATCAATGGAACAGAATAGAGAGCCCAGAAATGGACCCTCAACTCTATGGTCAACTAATCTTCAACAAAGCAGGAAAGAATATCCAATGGAAAAAAGAGTCTCTTCAATAAATGGTGCTGGGAAAATTAGACAGCCACATGCAGAAGTCTGAAACTGGACCATTCCCTTACATCATACACAAAGATAAACTCAAAATGAAAGACCTCAATATGAGATAGGAATCCATCAAAATCCTAGGGGAGAACATAGGCAGTAACCTCTTTGACCTTGGCCACAGCAACTTCTTTCATGACATGTCTCCAAAGACAAGGGAAACAAAAGCAGAAATGAACTTTTGGTACTTCATCAAGAAAAAAAGCTTCTGCATGGCAAAGGAAATAGTCAACAAAACTAACAGGCAACCCACGGAATAGGAGAAGATATTTGCAAATGTTTTATCAGATAAAGGGCTGGTATCCAAGATCTATAAAGAATGTATCAAAGTCAACACACAAAAAACAAGTAAGTAAAAAAATGGGCAGAAGACATGAACAGACACTTCTCAAAAGAAGACATACAAATGGCTAACAGACACATGAAAAAATGTTTGACATCATTAGCCATCATGGAAATTCAAATCAAAACCACATTGAGATACCACCTCACACCAGTTAGAATGGCAAAAATTAACAAGGCAGGAAACACGAATGTTGGTGAGGATATGGAGAAAGGGAACCCTCTTACACTGTTGGTGGGAATGCAAGCTGGTGCAGCCACTCTGGAAAACAGTATGGAGGTTCCTCAAGAAATTAAAAATAGAGCTACCCTATGACCGAGCAATTGCACTACTGGGTATTTATCCCAAAGATACAGATGTAGTGAAAAGAAGGGGCACCTGCATCCCAATATTCATAGCAGCAATGTCCACAACAGCCAAGCTGTGGAAGGAGCCAAGATGTCCTTCAACAGATGAATGGATGAAGATGTGGTTCATGTATACAATTGAATATTACTCAGCCATCAGAAAAAAATGAATACCCACGATTTGCATCGACATGGGTGGAACTGGAGATTATTCTAAGTGAAATAAGTCAAGCAGAGAAAGACAATTATCATATGGTTTCACTCATATGTGGAACATAAGGAATAGCATGGAGGACATTATGGGAAGGAAGGGAAAACTGAAGCAGGGGGAATAAGAGAGAGGGGGATGAACCATGAGAGACTGTGGACTCTGAGAAACAATCTGAGGGCTTAAGAGGAGAGGGGAATGGGGGTATGGAGTAACAGGGTGATGGGTGTTAAGGAGGGCACGTGTTGTAATGAGCACTGGGTGTTATACACAGATAATGAATCATTGAACACTACATCAAAAACTAGTAATGTACTGTATGGTGACTAACATAACATAATTTTTAAAAAGGCCTGGAATGAAATGATTGGTAGCATTTTGGTGATTTTTTGGTAAAATTTTTGGTTGGTAGCATTTTGATGATTTTTGTTTTCTTCTTTCTACTTTTGCACTTTTTTAAAATCATCTACAGTAGCAATTGACTAATTTTTATTTTTTTAGTAAAGATTTTATTTATTTCCTTGAGAGAGAGAGAGAGCACAAGAGAGCACAGAAGGAGAGGGAGCACAGAGGGAGAAGGAGAAGCAGACTCACCACTGAGCAGGGTGCCCGATGCAGGACTCAATTCCAGGACCCCAAGATCATGACCTGAGCTGAAGGCAGATGCTTAACCAGCTGAGCCACCCAGGCACCCCCAATTGACTGATTTTTAGATAAAAGAGTAGATAAAAGCATTTCTTGACACTCAAATGTCCTATTTAGATTGTTAAAACTACAACAATAAGTTGTCCTTATGCTTATATAAATGCATATAAACTTTGAAAAGCAGAACTCTGGGTAATAATCATAGTTCATGATTCTTATGTTCGTATCTATTCATTTTCACTTTCTTACTTTGCTTACTATACTAATTTTTGTACACAGAAGAAAAGACACCCAAGACAGTCTCCCAATGACACAGCGATCTTTAGTACATTTTTTTTCGACAATGAATTCAGATATTACACTGCCATTGTCATGGTCATTATCCTATGAAATGCTTCTTGATTACAATCCATCTAGCCCTCAGTTTAGTGGAATAACTATATCAACAATTGGGCAGAAGACTCCTAAAACTACAGGAGTGGGCCTTTCCAGATCGGAAAACAGCTTGGGTAAGCAAAACATGTACCAAATTTTTTGAGACTATTTTTAACGCATGTAGTTCAATAGCTTCTTTATATGCCTAGATGTCAGAATGACTTCCAATAACACAGATTTCTTAATGTCATATGCAGAGTAACTTGATTATGCTCACCATTGATCCTAACACTGAGTCATATTCAGGTCATATAAATGTATGTGGCCAAATGTATCATCCCTATGATTAAAATATCTTGAATTGTCATAATGGTTCATGGGTTGATGGCTTAGATGCTCTAGAATTGCTAGATAAAAATTCTAATGTATAGCATTAACTCCCCTTCCTCTGAACACCTCGAGAAAGATTAAGCAATGTCTTGTGTATTTGTGCCATTAGGAGACTTATGCTTAAGTAAGGAAAAGACAGACATATAATAGAAAGAAGCAAAATAAATGGTAAGAAAATGGTGGAAAAATTGGAGAACAATAATGAATTTGGAGAAGAAAATGAAAACAGTACTACAATAGGAAAAAGTTGGGTTTTGACAGTTGCCAACAGTGTAAGCAATGCACTCAGCAATATCCACAGTGTGTTCCTCATGATGTTAGGGAACTTTAAGGGTATGTTATCATGGTTTACTGAAAAACTCATGGTCTTGGAAACAGAGGACTTAGGTCTAAAGGATATTTCTACCTACACTGTGAGATAATAGGTTAGTTATCCCTGAGTTCCATTACCCACAAGTGCAAAATAGGGATTAAAATATCAACTTCACAGGGCTGGCCTAAGGATTAAATAAAATACTTATGAAAATCACCTAGCATATAGTAAGTGCTTAATAAAAAATTAGTTGTGAATATGAATATATCTGTAAGCACCTCCTCATTGAATAGGCTAGATTGGGGGTCTGTATTTCAATTACCAGTCAACAAGTTTCAAAACTGGTAGCATAAACACACCCATGACTACTTGATGTCTCTATTTTCCTCTATTATTCTATGGATATTTAAGCCTGGCTGCTGCTTATCTATATTTCGTTTCTGGCATTTTCCTAAACTTGTGACACAGTGTTATGTAGGATTTTGATCTACTGTCATTATTCCCTATGCTCATTGTTTGTATGCCGATAATGCACTTTTTAAAGAAGCCTCCTAAGATCACACTGATCTTTAGCAATGACCAAAATCCATATACAAAAGTGAAAATACCAACTTTACATCCAGGGAGGGAATATTTTTCCTTCTTTATCCCTGTTATCATCATGGTATATATTCTATATTTGGATTAAACTGCACAAGTTCTTAGGGGAAAAACAAAATATAGTGGTTTCCCCTTGCAAGATGATAATTGAGCTGGGGTGTGTAGTCTTCTCCTTCAGTTACTGTAGATTTGGGTTTTGTAGATAAATACCTGGGTCCACTGAAACTTGTTGCATTTGGTTCCATTCCATCTGTTCCTCTAGGTGAAATAACAACTAGGACTAAAATTAATCTGTCTTCTTCCTTTTTATAGTATAAAGGTTTTCATCCCTCAAGATGAACCATTAAAAAGGATACTATATAATCTCTTTCCCCAAAGGAACTCAAGGATTAAGTAAATACTCAAGTGACTGGGAATGAACTAATTTAATTCCAAACATTTCTTTAATCCTCTTTAGAAACTATGTGTTTATTCTTTTTCATCTTTCACCTCGCTTTGGTTTTGTTAAAGATACAAGAATATAAAGCATACTCTAGATTGTCTCAGTCCTTTGATGATTTTGGACACAGTGTCACATTAATCAAAGCCCCTGAACTACAATAATTGCTATCACTTACTAAATACCTGTTAAAAACTAGACACTACACTAGAAAGTTATCTACATTTTCTTCAGTCTTCACATTGCCTTATTTTATGTTCAGGAAAATGGAGAATTAGTTGGCTTACTAAGTGGCAGAGCTGGGATACAATTGCAGGTCTGTCTAAATCCAAGACACAGTGTTCTATCCACTTCATCATTGTCTCTCTCTGTAGTGTTACTCACTCTTTGCAGACACATCATTAGATTTACCCAGCCTGCTTCTTTCCATGCAAAATTATAAAAACTGTTCTGTATTTAAATCTTAGTAGTGATGGGCGCCTGGGTGGCTCAGTTGGTTAAGTGACTGCCTTCGGCTCAGGTCATGATCCTGGAGTCCCTGGATCGAGTCCCGCATCGGGCTCCCTGCTCGGCAGGGAGTCTGCTTCTCCCTCTCCCACTCCCTGTTTGTGTTCCCTCTCTCGCTGTGTCTTTCTCTGTCAAATAAATAAATAAAATCTTTAAAAAAATTTAAAAAAAAATAAAAATAAATCTTAGTAGTGATAATTTTAAAAGAACAAATTTCCAAGAGGATACTAGAGTCTGATTAAGAATTACTCTATCTTTCTAATAAACTATTTTAGTTGATTAGCAGAAATTTAAGTCTTTACCTGGCAAAATTACTAATTATTCATAGGGAGGGTTCATTTGAGGCTTTAATTTATGGGTAGTAATTTGGGGAGGATGGCTAATATGAAATAAAGTTGTATTTATATATAACATATCCAAATTTGAGAAACTCAAATGTTTACCTCCTTGAAAACTTATGATGCTTCTAGTACAACTGAATAATCAGTTAAATAAAAGTCATTATGCTAATGGTTTTGTTGATATTTTAAGATAACTGACATAATCTCTAGGAATTGTGTGTCACTAAAAATAATCACTTACTAGTTATTTCATAGACTTTGGTTTATAGCTTTTAATTATCCTCATTGAGTTTGAAAGTGACAGTAAAATGTATAAAGAATATAATTTTGTAGAAGCAAAGAATAGAGATAGAGGCTTTGTGTTCTTTTAATGTCCTTTTATTTACTTCTTTTTGTTGCTTTCCTCTTTGGTTTCTTTGAAAGGAGTCAACAGCTCCATAATGACAAAGAGACAGGCTCTGCTCCTTGCTCCTGAGATACCAGTAACTGGGGAAGGAGAAGATTATTTCCTATCTTTGTTTGGTGATTCAAAGAAACTTCTTCCACATTCATTCCATGCTGAGAAAGCCTGGAAGCACTTTTCTATGATTCTTGAAGAAGTGGGCCAATCTAGATCCAGGTACCTATTCTATTTGAACTATTTAATATCTTCTATTGGAATAAGAGCTACTTTACTTCAGTAAGTAATAAAGTTCTAATCTGATATTACATCCATGATTTCATCTAGAACCCTAAGCAGTTTATTGAAATATTACCATTCATGTTCTGAGGAATGGTAAGAAATCAATGTAATTTTCTAGGGAACCAAACAAGGAATGCTGATTTTTCAAAGATGCCAGTGAAAACAGCACTACATAATCCCTACAAATAAAGTCAACTCTATTTTTTCATTATTGGCAAATCATTCAGATGGATTTAGTGTCTTTTTTCTCTTCTACTAGGCACTTGAGTTTGAGACAGAAGGAAAAACATGGACTTACTCATTGATCCATTTTTATAGTTGTTGGTATCTATGGCAAAAAGAATTGATCAGGAAGAAAGTTGATATTAGAGCTAAAATAAAAGAGCTGACTCATCTATACATTTACTTAACCCTGCTTTTCTTGTTGCTTTAACAACAGATTGAACTGTGAATTATTAGAAATAAACACATGTCCACAGAGGGTGTGAGAGGGCTAAGAGAAGTTATTAGCTAGGTTTGAAGTTCAGACATAAAGGAAACTGTTTTCCCCTTAGGTCAGATTTCCTAAAATCAACCACTATTACCATTCAACTGTAGTGAATAATTAAGTGTTCTCTCAACCATCTAAAAACATTATTCATTCAACATCTATCTACCATTTAAGAATGATGACTTATTTGGAGCAAAAAATCAAAGAAAAAAAAAAAGCTTGTGAATATGGTTTTAAGAACTTTTACTCAGATCAGGAAAGATCTGCAGGTATAAGGATTGAAAGAGGCAAATAAAGTATCAAGGCATATAGAGAATTTTCTCCCAGCAGAGGATGATCTGGGAAGATTTTGTGAATGAGTTGTTAATTAGAATTATCTTAGAAAGATACGTAAATTTTGTTTCCTGAGGGTGGCTAGAGTGGTGGGGTTTGGGAGGGATGGGGTGGCTGAGTGATAGTCATTGGGGAGGGTATGTGCTATGGTGAGCACTGTGAATTGTGTAAGATTGTTGAATCACAGACCTGTACCTCTGAAACAAATAATACATTATATGTTAAAAAAAAAAAAAAAGAAGAAGAAGATAGTAGGAAGGGAAAAATGAAGGGGGGGAAATTGGAGGGGGAGACCAACCATGAGAGACTATGGACTCTGAGAAACAAACTGAGGGTTCTAGAGGGGAGGGGGGTGGGAGGATGGGTTAGCCTGGTGACAGGTATTAAAGAAGACATGTTCTGCATGGAGCACTGGGTGTTATGCACAAACAATGAATTATGGAACACTACATCAAAAACTAATGATGTAATGTATGGTGATTAACATAACATAAAAAAAAGATACGTAAATTTTGGATATGCAAATTTGGAGTCTGTGAGAACATTCTAGGGCACTACTTCTCAATCCTACCTACACAATTGAATCAGGTGAGAAGTTTTTAAAGTCCTGACCCTATCCTAGGCTCTGAGTCAGAATTTCTAGTGGTACAATTGACCATTGTAATTTTTTAAATCCCTTGGTAATTCTAACGCACAGTCAAGGTTGAGAACCAGCAGCCTAGAATGAAGGAACAGCATAAACAAAGTGAAGGAGGCAGAAAACGCTAGGACCAGGTAGGTATAAGGCATTTTATAGCATTGCCCCACTGAACAGTTCATCAATTGGTGTAACCGGGTTGTAGGGGCCAGGGTTGGGGAATGATCACAGTGAGCCTTGAACACCAGAATGAGGAATTTGATTTTCACAGTGGGAAATGGGAAGCAATGGGAAAGTTTCAAACAAAGGAGTAATAGGATCATGATTCTGAATGTTTAATTGTGGCAATGAATATTATGAATGAATATTGGATTTTTGTCAAATGCTTTTTAGGTATCTACTGAGATGATCATATGGTTTTTCTTTCTCAATGTTAAAGCAACCCTACACACTTAAACTCCTTTGATCATAATGTTTATTCTTTTAATATATTATTGAATTTTATTGGCTAAAATTTTGTTTCAAATCTTTACATCTATGTTTTTTTTTAAAGATTTTATTTATTTATTTATTTGAGAGAGAGATAGAATGAGAGAGAGCACATGAGAGGGGGGAGGGTCAGAGGGAGAAGCAGACTCCCTGCCGCGCAGGGAGCCCGATGCGGGACTCAATCCAGGGACTCCAGGATCATGACCTGAGCCGAAGGCAGTCGCTTAACCAACTGAGCCACCCAGGCGCCCTCTTTACATCTATGTTTGTGAAGAGTATTGATCTGTAGTTTTCTTCTCCTGTAATGTCTTTTGTCTGCTTTGGAATCAGGGTAAAGCTTGCCTCATAGAATGAGTTGGGATATATTCCCTCCTCTTTCATTTTCTAGCTGAGTTTGTATAGAAGTAAATTTTTTCTTAAATATTTTATAGAATTCATCAGTGAAGCATTTTGGGCCTGCAATTTCTTTGTGGGAAGGTTTTTACCTACAAATTCTATTTCTTGAAAATAGATATCAGGATATTACAGTTATCTATTTCTTCTTGGATAGTTTGTGTCTTTCACACAATCTGTCCATTTCATCTAAGTTGTCAGACTGTCATAAACTTGTTCATAATATTCCCTTTTTATCCTTTTAGTATCTGTAGAATCTGTAGTGATGTCACATTTCCTTTGCTGATACTGGTCAGATATGTCTTCTTTCCGTTTCCTGATCAATCTTACCTAAGAGTCATCAGCTTTATTGAGCCTCTCAAACAACCAGTGTTTGGTTTCATTGGTTTTCTGTGTTTTTTGTTTTGTTTTTTATTTTACTGATTTCCATTCTGATATGTATTTACTTTCTTCTGCCTACTTTAGGTTGAATTTCCTTTTCTTTTTCTAGTTTCTCAAGATGGAGTCTGAGATCATTGATTTGATACCCTTTTCTCTTCTAATATAAGCATTTAGTAAATTTTCCCCTAAGTACACCTTTAGTGGCATCCCACAAACTTGGTATGTTGGATTTTCATTCATTTCAAAATACTTCCTAATTTCCACTTAATTTCTTTGATCTTTGTGTCATAAGAAGTGTATTGTTTAGTTCCCAAATATTGACAAATTTGCCAGTTCCAGTGATTTTACAGATACATTTTTGTTATCAATTTCTAATTCTATAGTGATCAAAGAACTTTGTATGACTTGGGTCCTTTTAAATATATTGGGACTTGTTTTATAATCAGGATATTGTCTATCCTGGTAAAAATTCTGAATGCACTCACAAAGAATTTATATTCTGATGTTGTTAAGTAGAATATTTTATAAATGTCAATCAGGTCTTGATGGCATTAAATTACTGTCTTTTTGCTAATTTTATGTCTACTTGTTCTATCAATTTTTGAGAAAAGGATGTCAAAATCAACTATAATTGTGGATTTGTTGATTTTGTCTTGCAGTTCTATCAGTTTTTGTTTTATGTACTTTGAAGCTCAGTTACTAGATTTGCAAACATTTGGAATTGTTATGTCCTTTTAATGAACTGATCTCTATGTCATTATGAAATGACCTTCTTTATCCCTGGCATTATTCTTAGCTCAGAAATCTACTGATATTAATACAGCTGCTCCAGCTTTCCTTTTATTATTGTTAGCATGGTAAGGCTTTTTTCATTCTTTTACTTTTAACCTATTTGTGTCTTTATATTTAGAATGTATGTTTTGTAAGTAGCATGCAGTTGAGACTTGTTCTTCTATCAAGTCTAATAATCTCTGTCTTTTAATTTGAGCATTTAAACTATTTACATTTAAAGTAATTGATAATATGGTTAGGGTTAGGGTTACTATCTTGTTATTAGTTTTCTATTTGCCCCAACTATTCTGTGTTGTCTTTTTCCTCTTTTTCTGTATTCTTTTGAATTGAATATTATCAATGACTCCATTTTATCTCCATTGTTGGCTGATTAGCTATAACTCTGTTATTTTAGTGGTTCCTTTCAGGTTTATAGGATATATCTTCAGCCTATCAGACTACCTTCAAGTGATATTATGCCACTTCACAAATAGTATAAGAGCTTTACAATATTATTCTTTTATTTCTTTCATCCCAGATACTGTGTTTTTGCTATCACATATTTTATTTCTATGTATGTAATAAATCCCATACTCCATAGTTATTTTGTTATAATTATTAGAAGAAATTTAAAAGACAAGAAAAATATGTTATATATTTACCCTTATATGTTTTCACTGCTTTCCAGTGTTTTTAGTGCTTTTTTTTTTGTAAGTCATGTTTCCATCCCCTATAATTATGCTACTATCTGAAAAAGAACTTCCTTTCTTGTAATACCGATCTGCTTGTGATGAATTCTTTCTTGTTTTTTAAACAGCTTTATTGAGATATCACTGACATAAAAATGATATGTGTATATATATACACACACACACACACACACACGATGTATAACTTGATTTTATTTTATTTTTTTAAGATGTAATTGACATATAATATTGTGTAGGTTTAAGATGTAAAATATGACAATTTGATACATATATATTGTGAAAGGATTACCATAAGGTTAGTTAACAGATCCATTACCTCACATAATTACCTTTTGGGTGTGTGTGGTGAGAACATTAAGATCTAGCCTCTCAGCAATTTTCAAGTATATAATACAGTATCATATACATAGTCACTGTGCTGTACATTAGATCTCCAGAACTTACACATTTTGCTTAACTGAAACTTTGTACCCTTTGAACCACATAATCCCATTTCTTCCTTCTCACAGTCCTTAGCAACAACCACCATCCTACTCTGCTTCTATAAGTGTGATTATTTTAAATTCCACATACGAACAAGATCATACAATATTTCTTTCTGTGTCATGCTTATTTTGCTTAGCATAATGTCCTCCAGTTCTATCTATGTTGTCATACATCCATGTTGATCAGGATTTTCTTCTTTTTAAAGACTGAATATTTCAGAGTGTGTGTGTTTTGTGTGTGTGTGTGT